TTTATTCCCCCCCATCTCTATTCTTTAATTTTTAATCTTCTTAGCTCTCTACCACTCTTTTGTCTTGCTAATTCTTACCTCCCCTCCTGTCCCCATAGGACAAGTCAATCAGCAGTCATCAATATTTGAGGTTCTGAGAGGCCCCATTCACTTGGCACGTTCCGCACAGTTTCCATTTTTTGCTTAAAAAATGTTTTTATTGGGGCCGGCAGGTGGCATGGTAGTTAGGGTCGCTGGACTCCCCCATAGCTGACCACAGTTCAAGTCCAGACCTGGTGGCTTGCTTTCTCTCTCTCTCTCTCTCTCTCTCTCTCTCTCTTTCTCTCTCTCCTCTCTGTATCGCTCTGGTCAAAATGAAAATAACTATAATGATAAATAAAATAAAAGAAATAACTTTCAAAAAAAATTTTTTTAAATATGTTTTTATTGTTTTTGTCCTTTTTTCCTCTTTTCTTGTTTTTTTTCTTCTTCTTTTCCATTTCCTTTTCTTTTTATCTTCCTCACTTTTCAGCTTGGCCTCCACACACTGATTTTCTAGACAAGTCCAGGTGCTCAGCAACAAAATATCTGAATACTTTTAGGGTCAGATTAATCCTCAATTTCCATTGAATATGCTGCACAAGGGGAGAAAAATGGTACTGTTTAGAGATTGGAGGTCACTTCCTCCTGCATGCCTCTGAATGCTCAGACTTAACTTCAAAAACTAGGAAAAAATGTGTAATACAGCAGATGACCAGAAACCTCCCTTGAAAATATCAAAAGTAGATTAGATCATGCAGAAGATCAAGTCTCAGATGTAGAAGATAGAACCTTTGACCTAGAAAATTTCACCAAAAAATAAACTTTGAAAAAATAACCCCAAAAATGAGAATAGCAAATGAGTAATACTAGATACCATTAAACCCCCAAACATCTGGATTAGTGGTATCCCAGAAGGTGAAGACACTAATAAGGGCATTGATAATCTATTCCATGAAATCCTGGAAGAAAATTTTCCAAACCTAGAGAGGCACTCAAATATCCAGATCCAAGAAATACAAAGGACCCCACATAGAATCAACCCAAGATCTTCCCTAAGGCACATACATCATAGCCAGATTGACCAAAACCACAGAGACAATATACTTTCAAAGGATACATCATCAGTCAGACCTCTCACTGGAAACAATGCAAGGAAAGGAATGGGAAAATATATTCAAAGTGTTAAGTGAAAAACAGTTTCAATCAAGAATACTATACCCAGCAAAATTATCTTTCGTATGGGAAAAAAGACAAAAACATCCTCAGATAAACAAAACCTGAAAGAATTTACCAACGCCAGACCAGCTCTCTAAGAAGTGCTGAAGGGAGTACAATACCAGGAAAACTAAAATCAGACATATAGAAATAAGAGTACAAAAATACAACCAAGATGATGGCCAGCCTAATGGTAGGGACAAGTCCAGAGTTGTATGTTAACTGCCAGAGTTTAAATGGAAAGCTCGGACCACAGCAACACTTCAAATTCAATAGAAGAGACATTACATGAGACTAAACTGATGAGATAAAATTTTTTGACTTTTGATCGAAACATTACTGATTTTCCTTTATGCTTTCATTTCCAGATTTAAGGATTTTTGTCTTCTCTTGAACTGTTGATAGGTTCATCTACCTATTATTTGAACTAAATCCTAATCTTTTTCCTAACCTAAAGCAAATTTCTCTGAACATTTTTTCTTTGATCTATTAAAACTAGAACTATTTTTCTTGAAATTAAAAAATACCTATTTAATGACTGCAGTTTGCTATATAGCTCCAGCTAGGTGCTACTTTATATTCACTTTACTCACTAAGGTTTACACCTAAAGTCAGTTACGTGCTCATAGTTATGAATATATCAGCTGTGCTTGCTATTCAAAGTTTAATTAAGATCTTTCATCAGTAATATGTGGGGGGGAAGGCATGGAAAACAGCTGTAGATACAAGAAACAGTGTAGGGTGCAGGAAGGATGGCAGAGGGTGAGAGGTAGGAATTGGGCCCACTTAAATAATCTAATATTTACTACTTAAGGAATTAGGATATGAACATTTGTCTACCACAGGTGAAGCTTGGTAGTCCTCACAATTGTAACATGTGCAGCAACCCTAGACTAAGAATCATGTGATTATCAAAGGCTTTTGAGACTCAAGAATGATTTTGGGCCAGCCAGCGGCATGGTGGTTAAGGCAACTGAATCCCACATGGCCAGCTGTGCAGTGTTGAGTCCTGAACAGTGGTTCGAGAAACACACTGGGTGCATGGCATATATGCCCAAAATCCCAAGAGAACGAAGGACAAGGGGCTGGGGCATGGCCATTCCCCCAAGGGTACTCGTTCTTTCCCTCTAGGGAACACACGCACCCTAGAGCAAATCCTTAAAGAAAGATTTACACCACCAGGTAAACAACCAAAACCCACCACTGAGATAACCAAATTTGAAGGAAATTTAGAATGTTCAGTGGAAGGGGACTGGCAGACGGTGTAATGGTTACGTTGCTGGACTCCCACATGGTTGACCATGGGGCACATGTGTGTGTGTGTGTGTGTGTGTGTGCCCCAAATCTCAAGTGTCTGGAGCAGGGATTGCGGCGCAGCCAATCCTCCTAGGGAGTGGTTTCTCACTGTCTCTGTCTCTATCTCTCCAGCAAGCACACATGCCCTATAGCAAACATCTCTCAGAAAAGATAATGTTCAGTGGAGGGAGATGACTACCATTTATGCCTCCACAACACATTGCAGCGATGGGGGTTTTAATTGTTCCTATGTGTCACACCAAGGTCACTTCCTACCACTGACCGAGCCAAGGGGTATTAAGACCATTTCTTCTAACACATGAGCTTGGCTTGGGACTCCATCAGCAAAGACTCTCAGTGGTATGGTAGGCCCTCATTTTCTCTGTATCTGAGAGTCAAAACCTCGGAAGAGAACGGTAGCTGTATATGGCTTCCCCAACTCACCACAGGTGTGTTTGTGCTGGAGCAGCCATCAGAATTTCTAAGGGCTGGGGATCAGTGGTTAGCATAATGGCTATGTCGCTGAACTCCCACATGGCTGACCACGGTTCAAGTCCCAGACCTGGTGGCTTAAACTCACACTGGGCGTGTGTGCATGCATGCCCAAGATCCAGAGAGAATGGAGGAGGAGGGATTGCGGTGTGGCCATCCCCCCCTGGGGGGCAATTTCTCAGTTTCTCTCTCTTTCTGGCGAGCACACGCTATGGCAAAAACCTGTCAAAAAAAAAAAAAAACAGAATTTACATGTTCCCTGGTCTCCATTCTAAAAACATGCATGAACCTCTTAACTTACTTTTTAATAATCACCATGAGATCTGTATGCTAATGGTCTATCGACTTTGTTTAAATAATGGGAAGATACCTAATCCTATTACAAGAGCAGTAATATTCTTATTCATAGCTGTGTTCGTTTTTGTAGAGCAAATATAAAATATGGAAGTCCGTCCAGCCAGTGGTGAGTGCTAAGAGCCTGTGCTCCACAGGCTGGGAACACATGTGAGGCCCAGGTCCCACTACCAGTTCAACCTAAGGGCCAAGGGCACTAGCAGGACAAGTCATAGCTCCAACTCGAAGGCTGAGGCAGGAGGATCATGAGCCTGGGTCTGGCCTGAGCAACATAGTTAAGATTTTGTCAGGACCAGCAGTTGGCATAATGGCTATGTCACTGTACTCCCATGTAGTTGATCGCAGTTCAAGTCCCAGATCCGGTGGCTTAAACTTAGAAGGGATTGTGGTGTGGCCATCCCCCCAGGGGGAGATTTCTCACTTTCTGTCTCTCTGGCCAGTGCACACGTCCTACAGCAAAAAACAACTCTCAAAAAAAAAGATTTTCTTGTCTAAAATAGGGCCAGGCATTGGCATGTCCAAGGTCAACTTAGAGGCAGAGGCAGGACATGACACGATTTTATCCATAAAAAGAAAATAAAACTGGGGGCTGCCTCTATAGCTTGGTGATAAGGTAGCCAGCTACTACATAGCCAACTACATGGTTGAAGTCCCAGAGCCAATGGCTTAGATATATGAGAGACATGTGCACGTGAGTACAAAATTCCAAAAGCAGAGAAATGAAGGAACTGAGGTGTGAATATTCTGCATGTGGGGTGCTTTCTCCTCTCCTTGTCTCTACCTGGTAAGAGTCCTCTAGCAAAAAATAGAAAGAAAGAAAAAAAAAAAGGGAACCACAAACTGAAGAGTATCACTTGAAGCTCTACTAAAGGTATCTCTTCAGGAGTTTATCTAAAGGACCCTCTGAGTTACTTTCTACTAAACTCTATATTTAAACCAAAGATGACAGTGTAACTATATAAAACTTTCTATGCTCCTCAGTACAGTTCTTATAGAAAGTAATCTTTTGATCTTTTTCACAAAAGGTAACATAAGTATCTTAACCCTAACAGAATTCCTATCTTAACTCTAAGATTCAGCATCAAAAGTGGTCTGGATAATTTAGGCCTCAGTAATCTTGCATAAGGCCCAATTTCTATGAATGTTTTATATACACTCCTAGCCCCCAAAGAACTTGGAGATAACCAAGCATTAATTCTAAGAAATGGGAGTGGAGGTAAGCATAGAGTAGAGGGCAAAAAGAAGCTATATGGAAAAGGTTAGTTTTAATAGGGAAATCCTACCACTTTCCATTTACTTTTTTCTTAGAGTGTGTATGTATGTATGTATGTATGTATATGTGTATGTACATATGTATTTAAATTTATCAGCAATACAGGGAAGGAAAGTGAGAAAGCAAGCTGCCAGGTCCAGGACTTGAACTGCAGTGAGCCATGTGGGAGTCCAGCACCCCAACATGCCACCTGTGACCCCTTCATTTACTTCTTATAGTTTTTACCTTATCCTCCTAACCAAAACAAAGTAAGCTATTGAAAATTAACTTTCTCCCTGTTTTCTCTCTTACAGGACAATTTCCTAAGAAGAAAAAAAGACTGATGATCCAAATATAAACAAAACATGCATTCAATTCAGGTGATTGTTTTACATTTTCATAACATTTCTTTTAACATTTAATAGAAACTATATACAATAAAATTTTACTATATTTTACATAGGATAGCCACCACAGAAATTTATCAATACATAGGTAAGAAGCAAGATGGATGGTTGATAGCCCTGTCCTCTGGGCTACTTTCTCCTAAGAATCAGTTCACTGGGGAAACGGGTTCAGACCACCCAACTACGTGGAGGTGACAAAAGGCTTATATGTAGGCCTGTGGACAAAAATACCCAGACACTGGAACCACCAGTCTCATTCAAGGGCACCACTCCGATGCAGCTTCCATCTAACCACCTGTGAGGATTTCTGTCCACAAGCTGGGAAATTCCATTACAAAGATGTCTCTTTCCCCTTAAGTATAGTTCCAAATACTCGATCCCAGAAGCTTTCACAGGAACCAGTTCTTTCTCTTCCCTTGCCCAGAGTGGAACACTACTGGTCCAATCCCCTAAAATGTGGTTTTGTGTTTGACTAGAGCACTCAATAATCCAGAAGAAAAACAAGGCAGTCTAGTCTGCCCCTGTTTTATGAGAGATGATGAAAAATATTGTCTGAAGAATGGGAAATTTAAATCCACCAGTCATATGGTTCCCAAAACAAACTATCAGCTGGTAGAAGAGGGTTCCGGCTTGCCATTTGCAGTAGCCAATCCACTTTGAGGCAGTGGGGCAGAGGTTTTCTCAGAATTTCGAGATCCCTGGGATCTGCACCCGTCTCCAGTCATCTGCATCTGGCCCTGTTAAAATCAAAAGGCCCTTTGGTTAGAAATCCATTCATTGTAATCTGAAGCATGAACAGACTTAGTAATGCCGAAGTAGACAACAAGAGCAAGACAGAAGGAATGACTCTGGGTAGCTGTTTCCCCATGCTTAGCTATCCCTGTCCCTCAGAGTCAGAATTCACTATTTGCAGCATTCCTGAGGCTCTCTCAATGGGAGGAGAACTGTGTGTTGTTTCTTCCAAATGAAATGGCCATTCTCTGCTGAGATTCCAGAACAGCCAACAGACCATAGGAAGACAGTCCTTTAGGCCTCTTCTTGAAACCAACAGCTATAGTATAACTGTTGGTCTTCAGTCAGGGCCACTGGTATCCCACCCATGGCTCAGAGAAAGAGGCCAAATCATAGTACTGGTCTATATTACACAATGAGAACAATTCCAACATTAAACTTTTTTTTTTTTTTTTTTGGAGAGGTTTTTTCGCTATAGGGCGCGTGCGCTCGCCAGACAGACAGAGAGAGACATAGAGACAGAAAGCGAGAAATCACCCCCCAGGGGGGATGGCCACACCGCAATCCCTTCTCCTCCATTCTCCTCTCGGGATCTTGGGCACACATGCACACGCGCCCGGCGTGAGTTTAAGCCACCAGGTCCAGGATGCGAACCGCGGTCGACTACGTGGGAGTCCAGCGACATAGCCATTACACTAACTGCTGGTTCCCATCATTAAACTCTAATGAGTACGATTTACCTAGATTCCTTGTATCAACCATTTATTTACATAAATTTATGAACTAATCTGGGACATGAGGATCAGGGGCCTACTAGTAGGTATTCTAGGGAATCCATCTGCAGAATCAGAGCAACAAGAGCATTTGGGAGCACAAAGAGTTATTTTTTCAAAAGTACCTTCCTTTTATGGTACTCACTGAGCAAAAGCCATCTAGGGCATCTTTATACTCTACTTGTGATGACACCCCTACTTCCTGGAGTACATGCTAACCAGCAAGAAACCCTCTGCCTAGCCAAGCCACTACATGGGGGAAGCCCGGTCTTCACTTGCCAAGATATCCACCGGGCCTTCAGCAATTTCTTTGATTGAATGATCATCAAGGGTTAGTGAAGGATCAAAAAGCAAGGGTGAAGGAGGACACTGCATACCATCACCCACAACATCCAAGTCCTAGGAAACAAAGAGAAAAGACTATCAGCAGTATCAAGAAAACCAATATGCTAAGCTTGCTACAGTTTTCAGAAAAACTCAAAGCAATTCTCAGGTCCCTCCCTCATTCCTTGCCTTTTGTCAAAAACAATTTTTCTTTTTAATTTGCCAGAGAGCATGTAAGCTCACCTAAAGAGGGGAAAGTGAAAAAGCATCACTCACAGAAAATGGCCATACCACAATCCCTTCTCCATTTCTCCCTCCTTTTGGGATTTTGGGCCCCCACACACGCTTGCCCAGTGTTTCTAAAGCTCCTAGGTCCAGGTTTGAACCACACAATCAGTCATGTGGGATCCAATCACCTAACCACTATGCCACAGGCTGAGCCTCAAAAAAGGATTTTAATAGAATGCCCAACAAATGAGACAAGATCCAAGAGCATGAATAGTTTTTTCCTGCTATAGAATGTAAAGCACGCACTAGTAATAACATCTTAGAAAAAAGCAAATTTAGAGAAAAACTCAGAGACAAAATACCAGGAGCTGAGAGGAGGGGGAAAAGACAATTACTGTTTAACTGGTACAAAGGTTCTGTTTGGGCTGACGGGAAACTTTTGGAAAAATGGTGATGACTGCCCAACACTGTGGATTTTTTTTTTTTTATAACATTTGAGTTGTACATTTAAAAATGGGTTGCAACGGGCCAGTAGGTTGTATGGTGGTTAAGGCACTTATTTTACCACAATAAGCATTGAAAAAGCATATTCCTTCTGAGGGTAATTGTAGTCAATATCTAAATTTACCAGTGATGAGTCTAGTATAGACAATAAGTATAAATGTAAATGAAAATAAAATACAAGGGGACTTCAATAAGTTCAAAGAAATATGGAATACAAACCCTAGTGCAAAAAACTCTGAAATCCATAGTTTTAGTTTGGGAGCTTTTTTTGCTATAGGAAATATGTGCTTGCTGGAGACAGACACAGACAGGGAAAGTGAGAAATCATCTCTCAGTGAGGGTGGCCATGCTGTAATCCTTTCTCCATTCTGCTCTCAGAATTTCGGGCAAACATGCACATATGTCTGGTGTGCTTTTCAAGTCACAAGGTCTGGGAATCACTGAACTACACAGTCAGCCATGCGGGATCCAGACACCTTAACCTCCACAACCATCTGCTGGTTCTCCACGTAGTTTTTATAATATGCCTTTTGCAGGGACCAGCTGGCGTAATGGCTACGTCGCTGGACTCCCATGTAGCTGATCACGGTTTGAGTCCTGGACCTAGCAGCTTAAACTCTCGCCAGGCGCATGTGCGTGCATGCCCAAGATCCAGAGAAGAGAATGGAGAAGGGATTGTGGCATGACCAACCCCCCTGGGGGGTGATTTCTCACTTACTGTCTCTCTGTCTCTGTCTTTCTGGCAAGCACATGAGCCCTATGGACCCCCCACCCTTGCCAAAAAAAATACATGCTTTTTGCGTAAACTTTTTGAATACCTTATGGTGCTTAAAAAACAATGGGTAATGAGATTAACAGCCACAAAGTAAGCAAACAAGAGAGACAGAGGAGGGAAGAAAAGGAAAACAGAACTCAAAGAGCCTCTGAATGGCTATGTGTGACTATGACTTCAGAAATTGGCAGGAAAATTTAATTAAAAGATAAAAATAGGGGCCAGAGGTGGCAAGGTAGTTAAGGTGCTGGACTCCCACATGGCTGACTACAGTTCGAGCCCTGGACCTGGCAGTTTGCTTTCTCACTTTCCCTCTCTCTCTCTCTGGTCAAATAAAATGAAGTAAAATAATTAAATTACATATATAAAAACATAATAAAAATTAAAAATTAGGGGCCAGTAGGTAGTATAGTGGTTAAGGCACTAGTTTGAGTCCCAGACCTAGTGGCTTTAAAAAAAATCCTGGACCCAGTGCCTTAAAACTCACACCAGGTGCATGTGGGTGTGTGCTCAAAATCCCAAGAAGAAAATGGAGAAGGGATTACAGCATGGCCTCCCCAGGGGGGCACAGAGGAGTTTCTTTCACTTTCTCTGTCTCTCTCAGGCAAATGTACATACCCTATGGCAAAAAAAAAAAAAAAAAAAAAAAAGAAGATTTATATATAATTTCCCAACATAAGCTCTAGCAAGTTCAAGACACTTTTATAAGTGATGATACAGTAGCCATTTAGTCTATCCTGAAAAAACTTACAACCCTGGAAATTTAACCTTATCAATGCAGTCCTCTTTACCATCAGTAACTGAAGAAAAATTAATGCACTTTGAAGATTTCCTTTATAGTTAGAAAAAAGAATTCAGAAGGTACCAGATAGGGACTGTAAAGTAGATGCCTAATGATTTCCCACTGAAATCACCACAAAACCTCTCATTTGATGAGAGGACTCAAACAAGGTGCATGGTGAAAAAGAACTCTGGTGAAGCTTTCCAGGTGTTTTCTGCCAAGGCTTTCACATTTTTTTTTTTTAAGTTTTCCTTAAAACACTTATAATAAGGAGTGTTACTGTTCTTTGGTCCTCCAGAAAAATCAACAAACAAAATGCCTTGAACATCCCAAAAACTGCTACCATGACTCTTGCTCTTAATCTGTCTACTTCCATTTCTTGGTAGTCATTGCCCTAACTGTGCTTTGTCTTCAGGATCATATTGGCAAAGCCACATAATCCCTCCTGTTACAATTCAAAGAAATTCTTCACCATTTGATTCTACTTGTTTAAATTTTCATTGAAAGTTCTGCTCTTGTCTATAGCTAATCTGGGAAAAGTTTTGGCACCCATCAAGGAGACAGTTTGCTTGACTTTAATTTTTCAGTTAGAATTTCACAAGCTTAACAAACTGACGTTGTCTATGGTGCTGGCTACTGTCTCTGCTGTTAGCCACTGTCCTCTTCAATCACAGCACAAACAAAATTAATTTTTTTCCTTGAAAACTGAAGCAGATGATCTGTCACTGCAGACACCATCCTCAACATCATCTCAAAACCAGGATATCTAAAAACTGATTTCATTAAGGCATTATCCCCATAAACTTTTCACAAAGCATTAATGATTTCTTTCACCAGTCCTCCACCCAATATTCACCATATATCTGACGTTTGTTCTTGCTTCATTTTAGTAGAAGTCATGTTGGTCAGATAGGGGCTCTTTTCAAACTGATGCCTTATCCTTCTTAGTGTCTCAAACTAGATCCTGTTCAGACATGTTACAACAAATGAGTATGAGTTTATTTTGGTGAAAAAAAAAAAAAATCCACACATGGCTTTTCAATAATACACATTTTCTATGAACTTACTGAAAACCTCTTAGATTACTTTGGTTACGTCTCTATCCCCATAAGGTCTCTGATTCTTACACCTAACATAGTTTAATTGCTCTGTAAAACAAACATTAACAATACATTCTAGATTGTTTCTTCCAACTGAATAGGCCATTCCCACTGGGGCAGTAAACAGCCAACAGACCATAAGGAAAACATCACTCTTGGCTCCTGTTTGAAACCAACAGCTACAGCAAACCACTGGTCTTGATTCAGGGCCTAAGTCATTGCAATGGGTCAGCTAATACATCATATTAACTTACATGTCACTGCTTTCTAGGAGTCTGGGGCTAAAACTCTCCATTACGAGTTAAAAATATCAAAGGGCAGGGCCATCAGTTGGCCTCTTGGTTAAGGCGCTCGATTCCCACATGGCCAACCACAGTTCAAGTCCTGTACAGGTGTATATGTGTAAGTATGCCCTAAATCCCAAGAGAAGAAGGGATTTCAGTGTGGCCATACTCCCTGGGGGTGATTTCTTACTTTCCCTCTCTCTGACTCTCTCCTGCAAATCCTATGGCAAAAAAAAAAGAAAGAAAGAAAAATCCAAGGGGCTTGTATTCCTCTGTGCCAGATCCATATTACAGAGGTTTTGTTTCTAATAATCTAGCTTTTAAATACATATGATTTGCAATTCTTCTCTTTTTAAATGTGGTCACCAAAACTGACTATCACAACATCTTTATAATAAAGAAAAAGAAGATAAAGAATCTACTAGACTTTAAAGTTCAACTTACATGAAAACGTATGGGAAAAAGGCAGTCTTTGTCTAATGTCTATTTCTGTATTTTCATACAGAAATCAGTGTTTTTCTGTTAGGACTGTGAATTATTTTCTGCAATTACCTTATACATATAATTATTACATAAATAATAGCCTTGGGGCCAGCAGGTGGCACGGTGGTTAAGGCAATAGACTCCCACATGGCGGACTGCAATTTGAGCCCTGAACACGGAAGGTTAAGAATCAAGCCGTGCATTTGTGTATGCATGCCCCAAATCCCAAGAGCAGAATGGAGAGAAGGGATTGTGGCATGGCCACCACCCCAGTGAGTTATTTCTCACTTTATCTCTGTCTCTATTCACCAATTGCACACACCTATGGAAAAGCCTAGAAAAATATATAACGATTGGCTTGGAATTTTAACCATTAAGCACCGAAGCAAAAAGGAACCAAGTCTCAAAATGACAGAGGAACAGAAATGTTTTCAAAGGAAAACAGACACATAAAAGGCTTTTCTGGCATTTATATACAGGTGAGAGGAAAAATATCTGTTTATATACACATAGTGGTAGAAAAACAGGTGAAAGGCGAGAAGCAAAAAGGTTGCAACAGAAATGGCTTTAGACATTACCAGATGAAATAAAAATAGCCTACAGCTACTGAGCACAATAGCTAGTTCTTGTGTGTGTGTGTGTGTGTATAGGCTCCTGTTTGAAACCAACAGCTACAGCAAACCACTGGTCTTGATTCAGGGCCTAAGTCATTGCAATGGGTCAGCTAATACATCATATTAACTTACATGTCACTGCTTTCTAGGAGTCTGGGGCTAAAACTCTCCATTACGAGTTAAAAATATCAAAGGGCAGGGCCATCAGTTGGCCTCTTGGTTAAGGCGCTCGATTCCCACATGGCCAACCACAGTTCAAGTCCTGTACAGGTGTATATGTGTAAGTATGCCCTAAATCCCAAGAGAAGAAGGGATTTCAGTGTGGCCATACTCCCTGGGGGTGATTTCTTACTTTCCCTCTCTCTGACTCTCTCCTGCAAATCCTATGGCAAAAAAAAAAAAGAAAGAAAGAAAAATCCAAGGGGCTTGTATTCCTCTGTGCCAGATCCATATTACAGAGGTTTTGTTTCTAATAATCTAGCTTTTAAATACATATGATTTGCAATTCTTCTCTTTTTAAATGTGGTCACCAAAACTGACTATCACAACATCTTTATAATAAAGAAAAAGAAGATAAAGAATCTACTAGACTTTAAAGTTCAACTTACATGAAAACGTATGGGAAAAAGGCAGTCTTTGTCTAATGTCTATTTCTGTATTTTCATACAGAAATCAGTGTTTTTCTGTTAGGACTGTGAATTATTTTCTGCAATTACCTTATACATATAATTATTACATAAATAATAGCCTTGGGGCCAGCAGGTGGCACGGTGGTTAAGGCAATAGACTCCCACATGGCGGACTGCAATTTGAGCCCTGAACACGGAAGGTTAAGAATCAAGCCGTGCATTTGTGTATGCATGCCCCAAATCCCAAGAGCAGAATGGAGAGAAGGGATTGTGGCATGGCCACCACCCCAGTGAGTTATTTCTCACTTTATCTCTGTCTCTATTCACCAATTGCACACACCTATGGAAAAGCCTAGAAAAATATATAACGATTGGCTTGGAATTTTAACCATTAAGCACCGAAGCAAAAAGGAACCAAGTCTCAAAATGACAGAGGAACAGAAATGTTTTCAAAGGAAAACAGACACATAAAAGGCTTTTCTGGCATTTATATACAGGTGAGAGGAAAAATATCTGTTTATATACACATAGTGGTAGAAAAACAGGTGAAAGGCGAGAAGCAAAAAGGTTGCAACAGAAATGGCTTTAGACATTACCAGATGAAATAAAAATAGCCTACAGCTACTGAGCACAATAGCTAGTTCTTGTGTGTGTGTGTGTGTGTATATGTATATATACATATACACACACACACACATTAGTATCTGAAGAGAACAGTTATACAGTGCATATCAGGTTATTAGATATGCATAAATCTGTTCACATCACTAACCTTTATAAAGAAATCACCTCTTCAGGTGATCTTCAAATGTTAAAATGAAAAGGAAAAAAAATACATCCTTAACAATGTAGGGTTACTTATTTACTGTTTAACATAACCTCATTGCAAAAGTTTAATTGGCACTGAAGCATAAAATTTTTTTAGGATTTTATCTTTATTCATTTATTTTAATTTGACCAGAGAGAGACTGTGTGTGTGTGTGTGTGTGTTGTGTGGGTGTGTGTGTGTCTAAGAGAGAGAGAGAAAGCAAGCTGCCAGGTCCAGGATTTGAATCACAGTTGGCCACGAGGGAGTCCAGCGCCCTTAAACCACGTCACCTGCCGGCCCCTGAAGTACAAAATTTCTAAGGCCCTGGGATCAGCAGATGGCATAATGGTTACATCACAGGACTTCCAAGTAGTCAACTGCAGTTTAAGTCCAGGAATGTTGAGGTGTATGTGCATGCGTGCCCTAAAACCCAAGAGAATGGAGAAGGGATTGTGGTATGGCCATCCCCAGGGGGATGGGCGGAAGGAGGTGCAGGAATTTCTAGTTTTCTATCTCTCTCTGTCTCTCCAGTGAGCACATGCGTCCTATAGCGAAAAAATTCTCTCTCAAAAAATTTTGTTTTTAATTCTAAGGCCCCTTTCTGGCTTTCACAGTCCTATGAATCTATGGGGAAAATTCCTTAAAAATTATAAGGGCTGGCTGGGGCTGGTGGGTGGCATGGTGGTTAAGGCCCTGAAATTCACACAAGGCCAACAACAGTTTGAGTCCCAGACCTGGCAGTTTGTTTTCTTGCTCTTTCTCTGGCAAAATGCATGTGAAAAAAAAATAATAATAATTAATAAATAGTTCTTTTAAAAGAAAAATTATTATAGGGTTGGCAGACAGTATGGTGGTTAAAATGCTAGTCTTCCATATGGCTGACAGTGGTTCAAGTCCTAGACCTGGTGGCTTGCTTTTTCACTTTCCCTTTCTCTCTCTTATCAAACTAAATAACAATAAATAAAATTAAACAAATAAATCTTTTTTAAAATAATTATTTATTTTATTTTATTTATTCATTCATTTATTATTATTTTTTTAGTTTGACCAGAGAGAGACAGAGAGTGAGACTGAGAGAGAGGAAGTGAGAAAGCAAGCCACCAGATTCAGGACTTGAACCCTGGTCGGCCATATGGGAGTATCCAGAGTCTTAACCACCACGCCACCTGCTGGTCCCACATATAAATCTTAAACAAACAAAAAAAAAAAAAAAAAAAAGGGAAAATTATGAGACCAGCAGATGGCTAAAGGTTATGTCACTAGACTCCCACATAGTCGACTGCAGTTTGAGCCCCAGACCCAATGGCTTGAAACACGCTGGGCACATGAACGTGCATGCCCCAAATCCTGAGAGAATGGAGAAGGGATTGCAGTGTGGTCATTCCCCAGCCCCGAGGAGTGGGAGGATGGGCATGATATCTTGCTTTCTCTCTCTGGTGAGTGCACGTGTATTATAGCAAAAAAATCTCTAACAAAAAAGGGTAATTAGACTAGCCAGGCAGTGTGGTAGTTAAGGCAGCTGGATCCCACATGGCTGAATGTTCAAGTCCTGGACCCAGCAGACTGAAAAACTTTTAAGAGTGGGGCCAGCCAGTGGCATGGGGATTAAGGTGGCTGGATCCCACATGGCCAAGTGGGCAGTTTGAGTACTGAACCTGGCAGCTTAGGAAACATGTCAGGAGTATGTCTGTATATGCCCAGAATTCTGAGAGAAAGAAAGGATTGCAGCATGACCATCTCCCTGAGTGCTTTCTCATTTCTTGTCTGTCAAGAACACATAACCTAGATTTTTGTTTAAAAAATTACAGATTTTAAGGTAGATTTTTTTAAGTGAAGTAAGCTTATACAATGTATATAATCAATTTTTTTAGTAAATTTTTGCCTTAGGGTACACACGCTCAGAGACAGTGAGAGGGAAAGTGAGAAATCACCCACCCACCCCGTCACCAGAGGGGATGACCATGCTACAATCCCTTATCTTCCATTCTCCTCCCAAGATTTTGGGCTAGCGCCCACATGCCCAACATGATATTCAAGACACTGGGTCCAGGACTTGAACCATGGTCAGCAATGTGGGAGTCCCAACACCTTAGCCGTCATATCACCTGCTGGCCCCATCGTCATTTTTGTGGACAGGTTTTTGTGTGTTCACCAGAAAGACAGAGAGACAGACAGAAAGCAAGAAATCACCCCCCAGGGGGGATGGCCATGCCGCAATCCCTTCTCCTCCATTCTCCTTGTGGGGCAATCCCTCCTCCACCATTCTCCTCTTGGGATCTTGGGCACATGCGCACACATACACATACACACGCACCCAGTGTGGGTTTAAGCCACCGGGTCCAGGACTCAAACCACGGTTGACTACATGGGAGTTCAGTGACATAGCCATTATGCTAACTGCTAGTCCCCCCATAATCAGTTTTTTAAAATTATTTATTTTAATTTAACCAGAGAGAGAGAGAGGGAAAATAAGAAAGCAAGCCACCAGGTCTGGGACTCAAATCATGGTCAGCCATGAGGTAGTGTCCAGTGCCTTAACCACCATGCCACCTGCCAGCCCCCCCACACTCAATTTTAAAAATGGAGACAATGTGAGGAAAAAATTGGAATCAGTGTATTCTCTTGTTGCTGCATATGCTCTCCAGAGGCAGAGTAAGGGAAATGCAAGGGTGGTAATCCCATGGTCTAGTGGTTAAGAGAGCTGGATCCCACAAGGTCAACTGCAAAGTCTGATTCTCAGCACTGGTGGCTTGAGAAACAAGGGTATACGTCAGAAATCCTAACAGAATGGAGATGGAGATGGAAATCACAGCATGACTACTCCCCGCTGGAGGATGCTTTCTCCCTTTCCCTCTTTGGTAAGCATGGGCATTCTCTGGCAATTAGAAAAGAGAGAAAACGATGAGTTTTGAGGCTACAACCAACTGAGGAACAGTTGAAAACAATAAAATGGTAGGTATGCTTACAAAGTTATAAAAACAAATACTTGAGGAACCCAAGTATTTGTCCTAGTCAGTTCACACATACTCAGCATGTTTTTTCTTAAATTATTTTATTTAATTGTATTCATTGTCATTTTTTAATTTTATCTTATTGTAGTTGACCACAGAAGAGGAAGAGGAAGAGAAGGAAAGTGAGAGAGCAAACTGCCAGGTCCAAGACTTGAACCATAGTCATCCATGTGGGGAGTCCAGCCACCTTAACCATGCTGTCACCTGCCGCCCTCCTCAGCCATGTTTTTCAAACCACTTAGGCCAGTATTCCAACTGGACTTGGCCATGACGGATTCAGCTCCCTTAACCACCAGGCCACAGGGCTGCCTGTAATCAGTTTATTCTTTTATTTATTCATAAATTTTTGCCAGAGAGTCCATGAGCTCACCAAAGAGAAACAGAGGGAGAAGCAGCAGACATTTCCATATGGGCAATGGTCACACCACGATCCCTTCTCCATTTCTCCATTCTGTTAGGATTTGGGGCGTGCACACACAAGTGCCCAGTATGTTTCTCAAGCCACTGGGTCTAGTGCTTGAATTATGGGGTCAATCATATAGGATCCAGCTGCCTTAACCACCAGGCCACAGAGCTGGCCCCAGGTTATTTACTTACTTTTATTTAGGTTTTCCCCACAGTACATGTGAGCTTGCCAAAGACAGAGTAAGACAGGGAGAGGGAATGTGAGAAATAATCTCTTGGGTGAATAACCACACCACATTCCCTTCTCCTCCATTTTCCTGCTGGGATTTGGGACATGAACACAGACATGGACAAGGACACACACACACCCAGCATGATTTTCAAGCCACTGAGTCCAGGACTAGAACCATGGTTAGTCATGTAAGTCAAGCACCTTAACCACCATACCACCTGCTAGCTCCCCTGGGTTTACTCCTTTTTGTTTTTACAAATTATTTTATTGGAACCAGCAGTTGACCATGGCTCGAGTGACCATGGCTCGAGTCGTAGACCCAGTGGCTTAAACTCACGCCAGGCACGTGTGCATACATACCCAAGATTCCAAGAGGAGAATGGAGAAGGGATTGAGGCATGGCCATCCCCCCGGTGTGTAGTTTCTTGCTTTCTGTCTCTTTGTCTTTCTAGCGAGTGCATGTGCCCTAGAGCAAACACCTCTCCTGATAAAAAAAAAATTATTTAACTTTATTTATTTATTTATTTACTTACTTACTTATTTAAATTTGACCAGAGAGGGGCAGAGAGAGAGAGAGAGAAAGTGAGAAAGCAAGCTGCCAGGTCCAGGACTCAAACCATGGCTGGCCATGTGGGAGTCCAGAGTCCCTAACTACCAAGCCACCTGCCGGCCCCTCCCCTAGTTTATTCTTTATTCCACCTTCCCCCCTCCCCAGAAATTACTCTGTCCTGAGCCAGGTACAGTAGTGATACAGCTGGACGGACATGGGAAAAGTTCCTGGTTCATGTCCTAAGACCTCTCTCAGCACACTAGGTGTGTTTGAGACCATAATATTACATTGCTAAGACTGGGCTGGACCATGATGTGAGTGAGGATCCTGCTCTGGTAAGTACTTTCCATGCCTCTCTCTCTCATGGAATAAATTAACCTTTAAGAAAATTATTTAAAATAAGAAACATTGAAATATGATAAAATTACAGATAATTTTTTAAAAAGAAAGTAATTACTCTGTTCTGGTATATCTTTCACAGTAAGAAAGCACTGAGACCATTAAACCTTATTTCTAACTTGGTAAATAATCTTGTAATCTGTATTAAATTTTTCCATTTAGATCGATTACCTTAAATATGTTATGATTTGGGCCAGCAGGTGGCATGATGGTTAAGGTGTCGGACTCCCACATGGCCAGCTGTGGTTCGAGTCACAGACTTGGTGGCTTGCTTTCTCACCTTTCCTCTCTCTCTCTGATCAAATTCAAAAATGTTAATACATAAAATCAAATAAATAAATTTAAAAAAAAAACTGACCAGGGATCAGCAGGTGGTTAAAGCACTGGACTTTTCACGTGGTCGACCACAGTTCGAGTCCAGGACCTTGAGGCTTGAAACTCACATCAGGTATGTGTGCATGCATACCCAAAATCCTGAGAGGAGAATGGAGGGGAAGGAACTAACTATGGCATAGTCATTCCCGCTGGGGGGGGGGGATTTCTCACTTTCCCTCTCTCTGTCTCTCCAGCAAGCATAAGTACCCCATGACAAAAAACAAAAAAAAAGAAAAAAAAAATTATGATTATATACAAAATACCTTTATTATACTTAGGACACCTAACTTCAGAAAAAGGAAAACTTTTATCCAAAAAATTATAGATTAAGCAAAAGCACCAAAACAGAGATTGAACTCCAAATATGTTCTAAAGTCAAACAGAAGTCTGATAATTAGGGAAACAAATGAGATCAAAATCTCATTTATGAGGCTGAGTCCAGCTGAGGAACAGTGGAAAAATGTACAAAAGTGCATATACTTAGATGACTAAAAAATAAGTATCGTGAGTTCAATGTTTTTCTAGTCAGTTCACAACAGAATCTGTAACATCAAGAAAATCAAAACAGTAGCCAAAGCCAAGTTTAGTAATTTCCTAGAGGACCCTTTTTTTTTTTTTTTTTTTTAAGTTTTTCCTATAGGGTGCATATGCTCACCAGAGAGAGACCAGGGTAGGGGCAGGGTAGTATGGCCACGCCACAGTTTTAAACTTAAGTGGTTTTAAAGTGTCAATATGGACAAGTGAGAGAATAATTTTGTTTTGTCTAAAGGAAATTAGTGGTTTAAAAATAAGTCACCAGGTCACATGATAGTTAAGACACTGACTCTTACCAGGCCGAGCACGGCTCAAGTCCAATCTCAAGCCAGGCACATGTGCATGTGTGCCCAAAATCCCGAGAGAACAGAGATGGGACTGTGGCATGGTCATCCCCCTACAGGGCAATTTCTCATTTTCTCTGTCTCCAGCAAGTGCACACACCCTAAGGCAAAAAACTAAAAATAAAGTCCTCTCCTCAGCATACATAAAAGAATGAGAGAACTGAAAAATATGTCAACCCAAAAACTTCTACACAAATGTCTCTAACAGCATATTCCTTACTGGCCAAAGAATGGAAACAACTCAAATGTCTACCACTTAATGGATTAAAGACATGTGGCAGGTCAGCTGGTGACATGGTGGTTAACACGGCTGGATCCCACATGACTGACTGAGCAGATTGGATCCCAGATCTGAGAGCGGGTGCACACGCATGCATGCATGCCCAAAATCCCAAGAGAAGAATGGAAAAGGAGTTGTAGCATGGACATGCCCCCCAGGGGGTGGTTTATCAACCTTCTCTTTCTCATGAACACACGTGTACTACAACAAACTAAGAGGGCCTGACAGTCTCCCGGCAGTAAAAACATGACACCCCACAAAGCTGACCAACATGGCAAGATCCCAAGTTCACATCCAGAGACTGCCCTGAGTACTCCAGGCACGTGTGTGCCCATAATACAGGGCGAGCTTAGGATGGAATGCAGCATCAAGACCCTGTAGGTGGTGTTCATTCATCCCCTCATTCAGAGTAAGTTAACTGAAGAAAAAAAAAAAAAAAATGTGGTATATCCATACAAAAAAATGCTACAAGATGAAATGAAGTATTAAAACATGTTATTATATGAGCAAACCTTGAAAACATTACTGAGTGAGAGAAGTCAAACACAAAAAGCCACATATATGATTAATTTAAGTGGAAAAAAAAAAAAGGCAAACTTACAGACAGACAGTAGGTTATCAGTTACCAGGTTCTATGAGAATAAGAAGTGACTGCTAATTGGTATCAGGTTTATTTTTTCCAGTTGATGAAATCTTTCTAAAATTAAGAAAGTGTTGATGGCTACACAACTCTGTAAATACACTGAAAATCACTGGACCATATACAGTACTTTTTTTTTTTTTGGAGAGATGTTTGCTATAGGGTGCATGTGCTCCCCAGAAAGACATGAGAGACAGAAAGCAAGAAATCACCCCCGGAAGGAATGGCCACACTGCAATCCCTTCTCTTCCATTCTCTTCTCGGGATCTTGGGCAGGCATACACACACATGCATGCATGCACGCACACGCCTAGCATGAGTTTAAGCCACTGCGTCCGGGACTCGAACCACGGTCAACTACATGGGAGTCCAGCGACATAGCCATTACACCAACTGCTGGTACCAGTGCTTTCAAGAATGAAATTTATCATGTATTAATTATAGCTAAAGATGTGTGGGGGGAAAAAAACCTGTAAAAAGGTCTCTAAATGAATATGCTAACATACAAATACCATACATATATCAATTTAAAAATTTAATTATCAGGAAGACTAATCTACTCTCACCATTAATAAATAAGGCCTTGTCTCAAGGACCAATCAGAGCAGAGCTTCTCTAACTTACATCACTGAACTCCAGAGGTAAACTCTCAGTGGGCTGAAGCTCAGCAGCACTCAAGTACAGATCCATGGGGCCGGCTTCCAGATCGTCTGGCACAGACAGTACCTGCTCAGGCTTATACATCTGAGGAGGCAACTGGAAATGCAGTGGGCAGCAGGGATCCTCAGAGAGGCTTACAGGAACGGGCTTGTTGCAGGGTACCTCTTCAGATCCCTGACAGCATTTGAAGAGAACCTGATTCGTATCCTGACAAATATCTGTAGAAAAATGGTCAAGGGAAATAAAATGGGATCTATGGAAGTACAAGATACAAGAGCGGATTGCCATCTAAAACTCAATGTCTAGACTACACAAAATAATTACAACTACGTTTGATACAGAAAATCAAATGCAGCTATCAATAAAATTACTTCTCAAAATAAACATTAATTACTAGTATCTAATTCTAGCTCTAACAATTTAAAACTAATTCCCAATCACTTCCTCAAGATTCTGCTAATTTAAAATAGAATCACTAATCCTGTTGTCCCTTATGATAGTGCTAAGCAAGTAGCAAGAAAACTTCTAGGGACATAAACCAATTAAGAAAAAAATATGTCAAGGCAAATGCAAATAGCTTACAGAAGCCCCTACCAATCATTCACAAAAGTCAAGAGAGACGATCTAGGTTTCTGTTGTTACGTGCACTGGCAACATTAGCAAACCGTTCTTATACCTCGTTTCCAAAGATAACTACATGATAAATTCATCTCTAGCATCACAGGATTAAGAAAAACAAGAGCTCTAATTAGTAACGGTCACTACGTATATATATCCTGACAGAAAATTAAAATAAGTTACTATTCTTTTAGGGTAAGTAGTAGTACAGGGGAGTCCTGTTACATCTATAAGGAAAAAAAGGTAATTTTGCTAATGAGGACCCATGAAAAAGTAGTACTCCAGAACACTCCAAGAGCTCTATAACAATTTCCATTAGAAAGAAAAGGGTACTATTTCCGAGGTGGCAAAATTCTGTAGGATGAATCGAAATAAAAATGATTAGATAAAATAAATTTCAAGTTATACTACAAAATGAATTTTATTCAAATATTATTTTGAATTAAACTACATGATTATTTCCCTAGATTAGTAAACAAAAAGTTATTTTAATCTTCAGTTTATTTTTAACCAGAAAACACAATTTTCTATGAAGTATCAGGATTATAGAATTGGAGTAATTTTTTTGAAGGAGGTATTTTTGCCTTAGGGCACATGCAGCCCCCAAAAGATATACAGTGAGAGGGAAAGTGAGAAATCATGGGGGGCAGAGGAGTGGGGTGTAATGGCCATACCACTATCTCTTCACCTTCTTTTTCCTCCCAGAATCTTGGGCACACACACAAATGCACCCAGCATGATTTTGAAGCTTCTAGGTCCGGAACTCAAACACTGGTCAGCTATGTGGGAGTCCAGTAATGTAACTGCTACATCACCTGCTGGTCTCTGGAATAATTTTTTAACCTCAAATCTTAATTTTTAAAAATTTACAAATCTACTGTGCATTACAATTTTTAAACCAACTGAACCTTTTAATATTATTTTATTATAATTTTTAAAAATTTTTCCAGAGGGCATGGACTCAGAGAGAGAAGAAAGTATCCTCGTGGGGAATGGTCATGCCACAATCCCTTCTCCTCCATTTCTCCTTTCAAGATTTTGGACACCCATGCAGTTTTTCACTCCCAGGTCTTGAGACCCAAGTTATGCAGTTGGTCGTGTGGGATCCAGCTGCCTTAACCACCATGCCACTGACTGGTCCCCAAAAAACTATTTCTTTCCGTTCATATTTAGAAATACCTAAACTCTAAACCGGGGGTTTACAACCATGGTACTACTGATACCGTGAGCCAGGTAAATTCTGTCGGACATAGAATGTTTAGCAATATCCATGGACTCTATTTGGTAGCTATCACTAGCACCCTACACTGAGTTATGACAACCAAAAATCTCCCCACAAACTGTCAAATGGAGGACAAAATGGCCCCCAGTTGAGAGCCACTACTCTAGGAACAGATTAAGTATAAACAAATGTTTTGACCAGAACTTTTTTCATGGAATTCCAAGGACTTGTACAAAGTCTCTTATTTATTTAATACCACAATATCCTAAAGAACACTTCCTCCATCCTCCTCCCCACAACTTTTGTTTCAGATGGGGACAACAGAGACAAAAGGGAATGGTTGACCTACAACTAGAGTCTGGGTCCTTCACTTTCAGTCCAGGGCTGTGTCCATTAGACCAGAGTAAAGAGTTAACGGGTCACCATGGCAGTCGCATCTTTCTCTGGGGTAAGGACTTAAGGAAGGGTAAGTGACTTAGGCAACTATGGAGTACAAAGGAGAAGAGCATATAAGGAAAAAAAAAAAAAAAAAAAAAACTTCCCTTCTCTTTTCAAATAATTTCATTTTTTTGAACTTTACTTTTAAAATATTTATATGCTAATAAACTATGAGTACAGCAGTATAAGAAATATCTAAAACAGTCTTTAATATCTGTAAACTGGCTTATTAATTTAAGCTCGCCTAAAACAAAAACTACAGAGTGAAAAAAGAACAATCATAACTTCACCATACAAAAATAATCACATTCTTACGTGACATTCCCTCCCATTATGTGGCTTCATGCAGTTAAAACATACTCTACAGAATTTCAGATCCTAATTTTGCCACTATCATTTCCTATCAATCACAAGTTTTGTTAAAAATAATGTTCAATGCCTGAAAATAGTCCAAATTATGTTGTACCATGATTTATTTTCCTATTCCCCATCTCTTAAAATTTTAGAAACACTGGTTGAAGTATTTTATGAAAAAATATTTGTCTGCATTTATCTCCTTAAAATAAATTCCTAGAGGTGAAATAATTATATCAAAGAATAGTATTTTCAAATTCCTTTCCAAGTATTTTATCAATTTATATCTCCACCTTCTGAAATTTTCATGAAAACAATCTTAAATTTTAAAAATAAGTACAAGTAAATCGGTAATATTTCATTTTCCTTATATTTCTACTTCATTTATCTACAGTGATTTCATGGGAGTCCAGCGACATAGCCATTACACTAACTGCTGGTCCCTACAGTGAAGATATTTTTCAACCATCAGCCATTTCTATCTTTTAAATCTATCCATAGCCTTTGACAATTGTAAGTATTTATCTTTAGATTTTAATTGGCTTGCATTAGCATTTTATATATAGATCGACTAATTTTTTTTTAAGGTTTTTGCCATAAGGCATGTGTACTTGCCAGAGAGACAGAGACAGGAGGGAGTGAGAAATCACCCCTCAGGAGGTAAAGCCATGCTGCAATCCCTTCCCTCCCATTCTCTTCCTGGGATTCTGCGTATATACGCGCGCACGTGCGCACACACACACACACACACACACCCAGCATGAGTTTTAAGCCACCGGGTCCAGGACTTGAACCATATCAACCATGTGTGACTCCAGCATCTTAACCAACAAACCACCTGCTGGTCCTGGACAGTAATTATTTATCAGACATTTGTTATAATAATTGGTAAGTTGGGGCCAACAAGTGGCATGGTGTTTAAAGGCGCTGGACTCCCACATGACCGACCACGGTTCAAGTCTCGGACCTGGTGGCTTGCTTTCTCACTCCCTCTCTCTCTGTCTCTCTCAGATCAAACTGGAAAATAATAATGATAATAATAAAGCTAAATAAAATAATTATTAAAAAAATAATAATAATTAGTAAGTTGTTAAATATAAAATCAACTTCTTTCTCATTAAAGAAAATATTTTAGTTTTAAAATATTTGGCATTTCTTGCCACGCGAAGAGATTCAGCAAAATGTATGCCTTTCATATGAAGATCATTGTGTTTAATAAGTGCTTTTTACTATGAAAATTGTTTCATTGTCCATAAAATAGATGCACTTTCACAAATCAATAAACACAAAAAGTTTTACAGCTCAAGTGCAAATGTAGCTCTACAGCAGAATCAACAGAAATAATGATCTTTCAAAGGCAAATTCATTCTAAAGAGGGAAAAAGGCAACCCTTTTTTGAAAACAGTAAATATCTAATCTGGATAAAGTTTAAAATGTTTAAGTTAGGGCCCTTATATAAAATAATACTAGAAGTTAGTTAACGATGCTTTGGAACAGAAAACCAAAAGTGTATTTTTTTGAGTGAACGAGTAAGTAATTAGATTTGACAGTACTGTACGTCCAACAAACATGTTAAAAATCAGGGAGGAGACAGGAGGGACTAAGAAATCACCCCCCAGGAGGGACAGCAATGCTGCAATCCCTTCCCTCCCATTCTCCTCCTGGGATTTGGGTATGTACACACTCACACACACCCAGCATGATTTTCAAGCCACCAGGTCCAGGACTTGAACCATGTTGACCATGTGTGAATCCAGCACCTTAACCACCACATAAATATTTTATGGATATTTTGGAATCCTAGTACTATAATTATAAAGTATTAGCCCCCTCTATGACCAAGTAATTTAGATGTTTCTTCCTAATGAATTGGTCATTACATTTCCATAGCTCTGAAATGACCAACAGACCATAAGAAGACTTTTCTTTAGGCTCCTGCTTGAAACCAACAGCTTCAGCAAACTGCTGGCCTTGATTTAGGGCCAAAGGAAAACAATATGCAAACTAGCAGAAATTATCACTAGCCCTATCTAGTCAGCAAGTAAGAGCTCTAACAGGCAGTGTAAAAAGATACGGGTAAGACAGTGTCTGGTCATTGGAAGAGACTGATTGGAACAACGAACATCATCCACAAAGGCCAAGCACCTCTGACTGGAACGCGTGGTATGGGCCTAAAACAGAGGAAACAGATAAAAACAAACCCGTAAGAGGACCATCAACCAATTATGACAACACTTATGCAGGAAAAGGACATCCTTAATAAGGCAAGAAAATCCAGTAACAAAGTGCTTCACCAATATTATGCAAAAATAAAAACATACAACTTCATGTAAAAATAACAAGGCAACTTTAACCCCAAATACATCTCTCCCCTATAAAAGTGCCATAAAGCCTACAGGTTTTTTTCTGCCCTTTTTTTTTTCTTAAGAATTATTTTATCGGTGGGAACCAGCAGTTAGCGTAATGGCTATGTCGCTGGACTCCCACGTAGTTGACCATGGTTCGCGTCCCAGACCCGGTGGCTTAAAACTCACGCCGGGCATGTGTGCATGCGTGCCCAAGAGCCCAAGAGGAGAATGGAGGAGAAGGGACTGCGGGGGGACCATCCCTCCTGGGGGGTGATTTGTCATTTTCTGTGTCTATGTCTCTCTCTGTCTGTCTGGCAAGTGCACGCGCCCTATACTGAAAACCTCTCCAAAAAAAAAAAAAAAAATTATTATTTTATTGGGAACAGCAAAATGACTATGTCACTGAACTCCCATGTAGTCAACCGCGGTTTGGGTCCGGGACCCGGTGGCTTAAACTTGCGCCAGGCGAATGTGTGCGCATACCTAAGATCCCAAGAGGAGAATGGAGAAGGGATTGCAGTGTGGTCATCCCCCCCTAAGGGGGGGGATTTTTCGCTTTCTGTTTCTCTGTCTCGGTCTCTCTGGCAAGCACATGCGCCCTAAACAAAAACCTCTCCCCCCCCCCAAAAAAAAATATTGATTGTCCAGTGTTCTTAACCACCACACCACCTGCCAGGCCCACAGCCCACTGGTTTTTTAAGTGCCATATAGCCTACTGGTTTTCATCATTTATCTTTCAGACCTTTTTTTTTTTATTGTTACCTTATGTGGAGCCTCAACAAATGCAATGGATAAAAATGAAATCAGTCTTATTGAAGTAGAGAACAAACATTTGAAAAACAAATTTAAGAATGATCATTTAGGGGACTGTCAGGTAGCGTGATAGTTAAGGGCGCTGGACTCTCACATGGCCAACCACAGTTGGAGCCTCAGACCTGGCAGCTCACTTTCTCACTCTCTCTCTCTCTGTCCCTCTCAGGTCAAATTAAAATAAATAAATAAAGTTAAATAGAATAATTCTTTAAAAAAAAAAAAATTAAGAATGATCACTTAGGGTCAGCAGGTGACACAGAGGCTAAGAGTGGCTGGATTCCACATAGTTGATTTCACAGTTTGAGTCCCAGACTGGGCAGCCTGAAAAACATGCCATGCCAGGCATGTGTCCTTGCATGCCCAAAATCCTGTGAAAAGAATGGAGAAGGAATTATCACATGATCTTCCCCCTGGGGTGTGCTTTCTCATGTTCTCTATCTCTTCTGTGTCTCTCTTTCAGGTGAGTGCAAGTACCCTACAGCAAAACTAAAAAAAAATTTTTTTAAAAGAATGATTACTTAACTCTTTTTACTCTAATATCAATTGGTCCTATTCTATTACTATGCCCTATTTTTTTTTTAATTCGCCAAGGGGCTTCTGTACCCACAAGTGAAACAAAAGGAAGTGAAATAAAGTGAGGAAGCAACCCCCTGGGAGGGACGATCATGCCACAATCCCTTTTTCTCCACTTCTCCCTCCTTTCTAGATTTTGGGCATGCATGTACACGTTTTTCAAGCATCTGGGTTCAGGATTCAAACTGCACAGTCAGCCATATAGGATCCATCAGTCATAACCACCACATTACCAAGTGGCCCTTCGCTTCTAACTGTTTTTTTAAAAGAATTATTTTATTTAACTGTTTACTTATTTTAATTTGACCAGAAAGGGAAAAAGCGAGAGAAAGTGAAAAAGCAAGTTGCCACATTTGAGACTCGAACGGCAATTGGCCATGTGGGAGTCCACCACCCTTAACCACCACTCCACCTGCCAGCCCCGCTTCTAACTTTTTAAAGCAGTTTCCAAGTAACTTAGGCAGAATGTGTCCCTATTTGTGAACTGAAGAATATCTAAACCAAAGAACTTGGAAATCTAAGTCCTCCATTTGCAGATGAGAATATAGAGGCCAGAGAGTTCAGCTCTCTGCGAAAGCACAGGGCTGGTCACTAGGGAACTGAGATTAGGATGCATGTGACCTGACTTCCAGGTCAGTGCTAGTGCTTTCACTTCAACCCAAGTCCAAGAAGTCAGATCTTAAGGCCAGGACTATATATAGCATTTTCACAACTACTCTTAGTAAGCCAATATGTACACCTTAGAAATTATAAACACAAATTACCTGTTGGGCAGCACCATCTGTGGCCAGCATTCTGCGTTCCTTCAGCTGTCTGTGTAATAAGGCTTCTACTCCATAGCGCTGGCGATATCGTCGGAGACATTTCAATCGCTTTAAATTTTCTCGTTCTTTAGCCAAAAGTCCCTCTGGGCCAGTCAGCAGACTACTACCTGTAGAGTCATAAGAATCAAAATGTTATTTGCTGGGGCTGGCAGATGGTGTAGGTATTAAGGGTGCTGGACTCCCAAGTGGCCATCCACAGTTTGAATCCCAGACCTGGTAGCTTGCCTTCTCACCCCCTATTCCCACTCACTCTGTCCCTCTCTGGTCAAATTAAAATAAATAAACTTAAATAAAATCATTCTTTTTTTTAAAAGTTTTTTTGCCAGGGCCAGCAGGTTGTATAGTATTTAAGGCACTGAACTACCACATGGCTGGCTGTGGTTTGAGTCCAGAACCCGGTGGCTTGCTTTCTCACTTTCCCTCTCTGTATGTCTCTTAGGTAAGTGTACATGCCCTATAGCAAATTAAACAATAATAAATAAAATTACAGAAATTTTTCAAAAAAAAGTGTTACCTGCCAAGGAACCCATCAAGGATCTTTCTCCAAATTAGTAAGAAGTAAACAGGGAAATCTTTAACCATAAGATAGGCCATTTCGTAAGTAATACATTACGGTATTAAGATGGAAATAAGGGTAGGGTAGCACATGGTATAATGGTTACGTTGCTAGACTCCCACGTTGTCGACTGCACTTCAAGTTCAGATGTGGAGACTTAAAATTCATGCCAGGCGTGTGTGCATGCATACCCAAGATCCCAAAAGGAGAGTGGAAGAGAAGGAACTGCAGCATAACCATCTCCCTGGGGCTGATTTTCTGTCTGTCTCTCAGGTAAGTGTACACACCCTATAGCAAAAATCTCTTAAAAAAAAAAAAAAAAAAGAAAGAAAGAAAAAGAAAAAAAGAAGGGCAACAGGTGGCATGGAGACAGCTAGGTCTCACATAACCACATAGCCAACCGCATGGTTCAAGTCCTGGACCCAGCTGCTTGAAAAATATGCTAGGCACCTATGCATGCATACCCAAAATCCCAAGAGGAAAAGGGATTATGATGTGGCCATCCTCCAAGGGTGGAGGGATTTCTCACTTTCCCCCTCTCTCTCTGCCTCTCTCTCACACCCTATAGCAAAACTAAAAAACAAAAAAAGAAATCTAACCACTACCAAATTCTCATGTGAACTTAAAGAATGTGTGGGAGCTAACATAAACTTGCCTAAAGCTTCGTGTTCCACTTTGCGATTATGTAGGTACCGACGCTTCTTCTCCTTGAGCAAATGCTGAAGTCGTTTAAACTGATCTATATACAAAGACTGTAATCGAATTAGCTTCTCACGCATAATCAGGGCCACTTCTTCTGCTGTATAGACACCAGCATGTCTGAAGGAAAACACAGAATTCAGAAAAACATAAGATAATGAAATAATAAAATCCAAGCTTAAAAGTAGAAGATGGTGGGACCAGCAGGTGGCATGGCAGTTCAAGTGCTGGACTCCCACATGGCCAATCACAGTTCAAGTCCTGGACCCAGCAGCCTGAAAGTTACGCTGGGTATGTGAGTATACGTGACCAAAATCCTAAGAGAAGGATGCAAGAAAGGGAATTGTGGGGACCAGCAGTTAGCATAATGGCTATGTCGCTGGACTCCCACGTAGTCGACTGTGGTTCAAGTCCCGGACCCGGTGGCTTAAGTCAAGCCAGGCGCGTGTGTGTGCATCCCCAAGATCCTGAGAGAATGGAGGAGAAAGGATTGTGGTGTGGCCATCCCCCCTAGGGGATGATTTCTCACTTTCTATCTCTGTCCCTCTCTGTCTGTCTGGTGGGAAGGCAATTGTGGTGTGGCTACCCACCAGGAGGTGATTTCTCATTTTTCCTTTCTCTCTATGTGTCTCTCTGGCAAGTATACACACCCTATGGCAAAAAATCTTACTTAAAAAAAAAAGTAGAAGAGGGTAGAAAGGTTAGTCCTTTTGGCCGGAACCGCCATCTTCCAGTAATTAACCAAAATGACGAACACAAAGGAAAAGAGGAGAGGCACCCAATATATGTTCTCTAGGCCTTTTAGAAGACATGAAGTGGTTCCTTTGGCGGCATTTATGCGAATCTACAAGAAAGGTGATATTGTAGACATTAAGGGAATGGGTACTGTTCAAAAAGGAATGCCCCACAAATGTTACCATGGCAAAACTGGAAGAGTCTACAATGTTACCTAGCATGCTGTTGGCATTGTTGTGAACAAACAAGTTAAGGGCAAGATTATTGCCAAGAGAATCAATGTGTGTATTGAGCATATTAAACATTCTAAGAGCAGAGATAGCTTCCTAAAACGTGTGACGGAAAATGACCAGAAAAAGAAAGAAGCCAAAGAGAAAGGTACCTGGGTTCAACTAAAGCACCAGCCTGTTCCACCCAGAGAAGCACACTTTGTGAGAACCAATGGAAAGGAGCCTGAGCTACTGGAACCTATTCCCTATGAATTCATGGCATGATGGGTGTTAAAAATAAACTAATCTGTGGTCTATTAAAAAAAAAAAAAGAGAGAGAGTAGAAAAGTTAGATATAATCTGTATTCTGGTATGTAGTCAGTGCTCAATTACCTTTTTAAACACGAATGTTTTTATGACTCATTTTAACATTCAAGTTATTATTAAAAATACAAAATGAGCAAGCAGGTGGCGTGATGGTCCACAGTTCAAGCCCTGGACTTGGGGGCTTGAAAGTCACACCATTTGTCACCAGCAGGTGGCGTGGTGATTAAAATTCTGAACACTCCCACATGGTCGACCATGGTTCGAGTCCTGATTTTGCTGGCTTGCTTTCTCGCTTCCTCTCTCTCTTTCTCTGGTCAAATTAAAATGAATGAATGAATAAAATTAAATAAATAATTCTTTAAACAAAAAAGAAAAGAAAGTCACACCATGTGCATGCATACCCAAAATTCCAAGAATAGAATGAAGAAGGGACTACAGCATGGCTATCCCCCCAGAGGGGTGATTCTCACTTTTCCTCTGTCTCTCTTCGGCACATGTGTACTATGGCAAAAACCTAGCACAAACAAACAAAAAAGAAAATCTCCAAGAAAAGATATTAGTGTTAGATCGTACAAAATGTTTTCCTATTTGGGGAACCAGCAGTTAGCATAATGGCTATGTCGCTGGACTCCCATGTAGTTGACGGCGGTTCTTCCTGGACCGGTTGAATTAATGCTCCCGCCGGGCGCGCCCGTGCCCAAGATCCTGAGAGGAGAATGGAGAAGGGACTGCAGCATGGCCATCCCCATGGGCAGTGATTTCTCACTTTCTGTCTCTCTGTCTGTCTCTGTCTGTCTGGCAAGCGCACACGCCCTATGGCAAAAACCTCTCAAAAAAAAAAAAAAGTTTTCTTATTTGCAGTATGTTTAAGAAGTGAAAATACAGATGATTCTTAATATTTACTAATCTACACTCTTATTCCATTTAGTGAATATACTACACTATAGAATCATCTCTTACCAGTCAGGATAGCAAAAAATTATTCAATATACTAACATGTATCTTAACATGTTTTAATTAAAGAAGATATCAATATGGGGCCAGCAGGTGCCGTGGTGGTTAAGGGTGCTAGACTCCCACACAATCAACCACGGTTCGAATCCCAGACTTGGTGGCTTACTTTCTCATTTTCTCTTTCTCTCTTGCTCTGTCCCTCTCTTATCAAATTTGTTAAAAAACATAAAGTTAACTAAAATAATTTTTTTCAAGAATTATCTAATTTTATTTATTTATTAATTTACTTGAATTCGTCCAGAGAGAGACAGAGAAAAAGTGAGAAAGCAAGCAACCAGGTGCAGAACTTGAACCGTGGTCAACCATGTGGGAGTGTCCAGCACCTTAGTCACACCACCTGCTGGTCCCCAAGTCAAATAAAATAATTCTTTTTTTTTTAATTATTTTATTGAACTTTATTCATTCATTCATTCATTCATTCATTTAAATTTGACCAGAGAAACAGTGAGAGAGAGAGAAAGTGAGAAGGCAAGCTGCCAGGTACAGGACCTGAACCGCAGTCAGCTATGTGGGAGTCCAGCACTCTTATCCACCATCCCACCTGCTGGCCCCAATAAAGTAATTCTTGAAAAAAAGATACCGAGACCAGCAGATGGAGTAATGGCTATGTCACTGAACTCCCATGTAGTCGACCGTTGTTTGAGTTCTGGACCCTGTGGCTTAAACTCACGCCGGTCATGTGTGCATGAGTGTCCAAGATCCCGAGAGGAGAATGGAGAAGGGATTGTGGCATGGCCATCCCCCATGGGGGGTGATTTCTCGCTTTCTATCTCTCTGGCAAGCACATGCACCCTATAGCAAAAAAACTCTCAAAAATAAAGATACCAATCAAGATCAAATTATCACAACTTTTTAAAAAAGATTTATTTATTTATTATCACTATTTTTCTATTTTGACCAGAGACACACAGAAAAAGAAAGAAAGAGCAAGCAACCAGGTCTGGAACTCAAACCATGTTCGGCCAAGTGGGAGTCAGCACCTTTAAGCACTATGCCACCTGCTGGCCCCCAAATTATTACAACTTTTAATTTAATATGTGTGTGTGTGTGTGTGTGTGTGTGTGTTATATATACGTGTGTTATATTTATATATAATACACACACACACACACACACTACCGAGCCAGCTACCAGATGTGGTTGTAAGAACAGCTGAATATATACATATATATATATATATACACATATAATATACATATATATAATACACACACACACACACACACACACACACACACACACAACTACCGAGCCAGCTACCGGATGTGGTTGTAAGAACAGCTGAATCCCACACCTCTTGCAGCCACCTCCTGCTCTGGTCCTTAAATTCCTTCCTTTAACAAACTTAACTGACAAGCTATACTGTCTGCCTCATTCTTTGGTCTCTAAACTCCTTCAACCTTTGCTTACACAGTCTCACTTTGGAACAAATAATAAATAGAAGTCAATACTACCTGAATATAAGTAGTACTTAACTACAGGGGCCGGCAGGTGATGTGGTAGTTAAGAGCGCCGGACTCCCACATGGCTGACCACAGTTTGAGTCCCGGACCTGGCAGCTTGCTTTCTCGCTTTCTTTCTCTCACTCTCTCTCTCTCTGTCTTGCTCTGATGAAATTGAAATAACAACAATAAATAAAATAAATAATCCTTTTTTTAAAAAAAAAAAGTACTTAACTACAGAGTATTCTGAAATAAAAATAAGTGAGAAGAAATTAAGAAAATTAAATGAATAAAACTAAATGATAGAAATGACAAAATCTCTCTAAAAGACCATGAGAAAATGTGAAAAGTTTTTAAAAATATATAACATCTGAACAAAGTGACTAAATTATATCTTTGGAAAATAGGCTATGTCTGCATTAACTTGTCTGCAACTCTAAAATACTGAGACCTTAATTGAACATCAAATTCTATTTCACTGCAAATGAAATTAATTTCACTGCACCCTGTTAGAAGGGAACTTAACCATTGGTCCAGGGACTAAAATTTAAAAATGATAAGCCACAATTAGAATTTATTAGAAATTATTGGGGGGGTGCATTTGAACACCTCAGTAAATATAAATGCACAATTCACACAAAATATGATTCACTTACTTAAAGATGGATGCACCAGACTATCATAATGAGTTATTTAGATCACATATTAAAACTGTCCTTACTCTGCTGAGAGAATGGAGAAGAGGGGTTTGCGGCAAGAATGATTTCTCACTTTTCCTCTCCCTCTCCCTCCCACCCCCATCTCCCTGAACCCCCAGGCAAGCACACTATAGCAAAAACAAGCCCAGCAAATGGCATAATGGTTACATCCCATAGTCGATCACAGTTGGAGTACAGAACTCGGTGGCTTAAAATTCACACCAGGCTCAGGACCAGCAGATGGCATAATGATTACATCACTGGACTCCCTCATAGTTGACCATGGCTGGAGTTCCAGACTCAGCAACTTAAAACTTATGCCAGACACGTATCAGTACGTGCCCAAGATCCTGAGAGCAGAATGGAGGAGAAAGGATTGCAGCGTACCTATCTCCCCTAGTAGGTGATTTCCTGTTTTCTATCTCTCTGTCTCTGTCTTTCAGGTGAGTACACGTGGCCTATAGCGAAAAAAGGAAAAAAGAAAAAAAAAAAAAAAAAACCTCACACCAGGCTCCTGTGAGTGCATGCCCAAAATCCAAAGAGGAGAATGGAAGAGAAGGGACTGCAGCATAGCCATTCCCCCAGAGGGTGATTTCTCACTATATGTCTCTCTGGTCTCTCTGGCCAGCACGTGCACCCTAATGCAAAAATCTTTCTTTAAAAAAAAAAAATAGGAGGAAGTCACCTTATAGTCCATTAAGCAGTGTTGCTTACTAAAGAATTCTCTGGAATTTATTTTGAAAATAAAGATGAAAATTACATAATCTGAAATGAGCTTAGCCAAATAAAGTTTGGATGCTTACAGAAATCATAACAGAAACCAGCAGATGGCATAATGGCTACGTTGTTAGACTCTCACATGGCCAAGGAACAGACTGAGTCCCAGACCCGGTGGCATGAAAGTCATATAGAGCACATATGCATGCATGCCCAATATCCCAAGGAGAACGGACTACAGTGAGGCCATCCTCCAGGTGAAATTTCTTGCTATCTATGTCTCTCCAGCAAACGTACACACCTTATAGCAAAAAATCTCTCAAAAAGGGGGGGAAGGGGCAGCAGGTGGCATGGTGGTGAAGGTGGCTGGACTCCCACACGGTTGACAGTGGTTCAAGTACGTTGCTTTCTCACTTTCCCTCTTTCTGTTTCTCTCTGGTAAAATTAAAAAGTAACAATAATGAAAAAAATAAATCATATACAAAGCTTTCTTAATTGCAAAGGGACACATGCACTTGCCTGTGAGAGTGTGCAGTCCCCAATTGAGTGTAATAACATCGCAATCCTTTTCCTCCTCTCCATTCATCAGGGTTTGAAACACGCACACCCAGACACCTGGTGTGTTTTTCAAGCCACCAGGGCCATGATTTGAACCATGGTAGGCCATGTGGGATCAAACTTGCTATGCCAGAACACTTAACTGCTGAGGTACAGGGATGGCCCAGTGTGAATTCTTATGACAAGAATTTTATTACACAAACATGCTATTATTAATATTATTAAATACAAAAAGGTAGTAATATATAACCGTATTAATTAAATATTGTAACAAGATGTTTAAAATTCTATTTACATCCAAAAAATGCATACATTTTTAGTGGGTCAAATATTTTTGGATGTCATTAGGAAAATTAAGAAAAGTCTTATATTTAGTTATCTAATAGTTAAAAACACCTGGAGGAGGTGGTGTGGTGGTTAAGGTAGCTGGATTCCCACATGGTTGACTAGAGTTTGAGTCTCAGACCCAGTGGTTTGAAAATCACACTGGGGACATGTGCGTGCGGGCCCAAGATCCTGAGAGGAGTATGGAGAAGAGATTGTGGCGTGGCCATATCTCCCGGGAGGTGATTTCTCGCTTTCTGTCTCTCTGTCTTTCTGGCAAGCACATGCGCCCAATAGCAAAAACCTCTCCAAAAAAAAAGGGAACATCTGGGCATGAAGCCAGAGGTAGCGTGACGGTTAAGGGCGCTGGACTCCAACATGGCCGACCACGATTTGAGTCCTGGACCTGGTAGCTTACTTTCTCACTTTCTCTCTCTCTGGTCAAATTAAAATAAGTAAAGTTAAATAAAATAATTATTAAAAAAAAAATCAGGGCTTTATTTTGTTCCCCTTTGAGTACGTTTAAGATGTATTTAATTTTATTTATTCACTCGTTTACTTCAATTTGACAAGAGAAAGACACACACACCGATAAAGTAAGAAAGCAAGTCACCAGGTCTAGGACTCAAACCATGGTCAGCCACAGGAGGAAATGTCCAGTACCTAAACCACCACGGCCACATGCTGGTCACCCACCCTCTTTGAGTATGTTTCCTCTAGATAAAACTGACAAACTCTATTACTTTTAGCTCGTGTGTGTGTATATCTTTAAGAATTACTTTATCCAACTTAATTCTTATTTATTTTAATCTGATCAGAAAGGGGGCAGGGGGGATGAGAATTTATTCCAAAAATTCTCTAAATTATAAGACTTTTAATTAAGAATCAAATCATGCCTTTAAGCAAAATAGTGAAAAACCATGACACTTAATATTCAGAAGCTACTACTGTTCACAAATAACTGTTTCCAACCCTCCCAGGTTGTTAATCTACTAACAGCATGCAGCACTACATTCCACATACTAACTACATAAACTAGTCAAAAGTCTTATGTGGAATTACAACTTACTTTAGGGGATCTTCTTGATCACTGTCTATGCTATCAGCTTCACTGTCAGGGTCACCTCGCCATGTCTGATCCACAGTAATGGGTTCCTGTTCCCCATCACTCCAGCTGTCTTCATCTGAGGCAAGGAAGGGAGAGCAGCCATTAAGACTTCCCACCTCTGTAACTCCATAACACAGAACTAAATTACCTACCATATCAACCCAAATATTGAAATTACAAGAAAAAATCACTAAAAATGTACTGGCAAATAAAAACAGTAATACAACCCAGGTAAGATTACTAACAATGCAAAATAGTTAACCATGCCCTCTCAAAAGTACAAAAAAGTCAACTTAAAATTGTTTCCTGAAATTACTTTATATAGCAAAGTTTCTAAGCATAAAAAACAGTGATGAAGGAAATACTGATACTCACCAACTCAGAAGAATAAATGTAGGCAGGCACCACTTCAAAATGAAAGGAACTCATGAACACAGCAATCCCAGAATTTTCATCAGAATTCCCAAATTCCCACAATCAACAAAATTGCCAAATATATTCAAGGCACTGTGCTAAACCTAAGTAAGCTATTTCTTAACCTTCTTTATCATTTTAGAAGAAAAGATCCTTACCCAGTATTCTGCTAGCTTCACTGCGGCTACTTTCTGGAGTCTGCGACCCCAGGTCTGTCTTAGCATATGAGCTCAGTTGGCACAAGAGTGTTTCACCCATAGGCCCTGGGCTGGTCTTCTTCATTTGAGCATGAAGTGCCTGGGCATTCCTACGTGCATGTTCAGCACAGAAAGACACCCTAGACAGAAAAATATTATATAGGTTCCTTATTGTAAGAGTTGAATGGTTTTCATAACCACAAATCTTTGTATCATTTTTTAGCAAATTTAAGTGACTATCACATGTATTTCTAAACTGGCCAATGAGTCAGAGTAATTTAACAGTACAAGGTCAACTCATTTGGTGTTATTAAATGAAAATGCCAGTAGCATAATCCAGTACACTTTCCATCAAACCAAACATTCCAACTATAAAAATGCTGACATCATTTCATAACAAATCAGAGATCCAGTTTCCTCTTCAAAATTGGTTATGGAAGGCAACTCGACATTTTAATATCAACTCATTATTAATAACAAGTGGAGGTATTTTTCTTTGCAAGAGAGATTTTTGCTATAGGGCATGTGCACTCAGGATTTTGGGCACACACGTACTTCTGGGGCACTCCTACCCACTGACTGGCTACTGCTCCTATGGATCCATACTTGAACCCTGCTTGCCCACCTGGGAGTCCAGCAATGTAACCATTAAGCCATCTGCTGGTTCTCATGGGAACAATTTTAAAACTAAATGATAGATACAAATCATCCAGTCAAATTACACTTTTGCATGGATCCCTTCCTATACACAAAGTTATAAAGCCTCTTCCAGAAGAATTAACACGATTTTATGTATTATTTAATGAGGTTAATAGACAGCCAAAAGAGACATGCACCTCAACATTATGGATAATTTAAAATATTCCCTCATTTGACATAATAGATCTAAAGATATGAGCTAAGTAGCCCAACTCAGGCATCCCAGTTTTAACCGTTTTAATGTTTTACCTTCCAAGAACATGCCCATGACCTAAAACTTGTCAGCTATGCCCATGCCTAAATCACCTCACAAAGTGCTTTCACTTCAAAATTAAAAGTACAATATACAGGAGCCGGTAAGAGATGTGGTTAATGGCGCTTAACTCCCACATGTCCTACTGCAGTTAGAGTTCCAGACCTGGTGACTTGTTTTCTCACTTTTACTCTCTCTTTCTCTCCCCTCTCCCCCCTCCCTCTCTGGTCAAATTAAATAAAGTTAAATAAAATGATTCTTTCCAAAAAAATGTAAAATATACATATATACCCATCTTTCTTCTCCGGTTTTGGGGCAGCACTGGGACATCTTTTTCCATTCTTCGTCGATATATAACTACACTGCTTGAAGGGTGCATTTTTGTCTTCAAGGATATGCTTAATACAAAATTCCTGCCCCTCCAGACGAGGTTGAGAGCGTGGGCAACGAGAGAATGAACAAGACAGGAGCTCCTGAGACCTGGGCACTGGGGTGATCCTCCCCCGATTGGTTGGCAAGACGTGAATCCGAATCCTGTTCATACCAAAACCTGCAGGGTCACACGAAAAATCAAAAAATCCTTACCTCCCCGAAAACTCCTGCTCCACAACATCCGGACGCACTGAAGAGCAGGCAGAAGTCGGCCTCGCGGGATACGCTCCCTAACTCCCCGCCGCCCTCCCCGTCTCCCCCAGGCATTCGCGGCTGTGTCTTCCCTTAACTACTCGCTGCATGGTCGGCCCTACCCGACCCCCACCCCCTGGAAAGTACCTCTAGGACACGCACCGTAGCAGCTGCAAGCCCTAGCGCCAGCCCCACGCAGAGGCCACGCCGCAGCACCGCGCCCCGCCCCCGTCTCCCCGCATTCCGCCTTTGTCCCGGCCCGCCTTGAGCTCAAGGCGGGCCCCGCCCGGCCTCGGTGGCCCGGCAAGCGCCATTTTGTCCTAAGGCTGTGGGCACCAGAGGACCGGGCTCCTGGGAGCCTACAGGAAGGAAGGCAACTCCGATGCTGCTTGAGAAGAGGCAGCAGCTTAAGAGCTGACAGAGGACGAACCAACAGTCTAACTAGAAGGGCGTAAAGCGAGCACAGCCGCCATCTTACCTCAGCCGCCGCGCTCTGCAGCGCCGCTCGCCCGCCTCTGACCACGCCAGGCGTTCCTTACTGGTCCCGCTCCTTTCCGGAGTCCTAACCACTGATTGGCTACTGCTCCTATGGCGGCGTGTCGCCATTGGCCAAGGTCCACGACCTATCACAGCTGAGAGGCGGAGTTCTAACAAAATTCGGGACTGGAGTGGCTGAGATGAACTGTCTGTCAGACCCTGAGAAGCGTGAGCCCGGGGGGAGGGCAAGGTAGAGGCGGGGCGCCAGTGAGGGTGTTTTTCCACCTCTTAGTGGCCCCTTTGTAGGCGGGTTCGGCCCCTCTATCCGTGGTCCCGGGCTACTAGTACCTGAAGTACCTTCTGCGCAGGAGTTATGAACTCGGACAGATCCTGGAGGTCACTTACATTTGACTTACTGATTATACTCAAGACTTTTTGTGAGTTCCATACTTACCGAACACTTGATACAGAGCACCCAGAAACATTTGTCTGGATGTTTACTGTGAGTCTGCGAAATTACATGTATAAAATCAATGAATTTTTCACAGCAACTTTAAGAGATTGGAGATAATGCCCCGTTTTACAAATTAGATGGGAGTCCAGCGACATAGCCATTACGCCAACTGCTGGTATGCTTTTCCTTTTCTTTTTTCCTTTCTTACTTTTCTGCTCAGCCTTCACACAGTGATTTTCTAGACAGGTCTACATGCTCAGCAGCCAAATAGCTGGATACTTTTAGGGTCAGATTAATCCTCAATTTCCATTGAATCTGCTGCACAAAGGGAGAAAAAACGGTACTGTTTAGAGACTGCAGGTGACCTCCTCCTGCATGCCTCTGAATGCTCAAATTTAACTCCAAAAAGTAGGGAAAAAGCACAATACATCAGATGACAAGAACCAACCACAGAGGCACAAGAAATATAAGAAACCAAGAAAATATCTGTCCCGTAAGGGAAAAGAATGACTCCTTATCCTCTACAGACAATACAAGGGAACTCATGGAAATGTCAGAAAAGGAATTTAAAATAATGATAGTGACAAAGCTAACAGAGATGCCAGAGAAGAGAGACAAAAAAACTCCAGAAGATGCAGGAAAAAAGAGACACCGAGTTCCAGGAGGTGAGGAAGTTCTTGCACGGTCTGAAAAAAAGAGATACACGTCATGGGAACCAGCAGTTAGCGTAATGGCTATGTCGCTGGACTCCCACGTAGTCGACCGCGGTTCGTGTCCCGGACCCGGTGGCTTAAAACCCACGCCGGGCGCATGTGCGTGCGTGCCCAAGATCCCGAGAGGAGAATGGAGGAGAAGGGATTGCGGCGTGACCATCCCCCCTGGGGGGTGATTTCTCGCTTTCTGTCTCTATGTCTCTCTCTGTCTGTCTGGCAAGCGCACGCGCCCTACAGTGAAAATCTCTCCAAAAAAAAAAAAAAAAGAGATACACGTCATAAAAAAGAAATGGAATTGTTAGAGATAAAGGCTGTAATATAGAAAATCAAAACCTCCCTTAAAAGTATTAAAAGCAGATTAGATCATGCTGAAGATCGAATCTCAGATGTAGAAGATAGAACCTCCAGGGACCAGTAGTTAGCATAATGACTTATGTCACTGAACTCCCAAATAGTAGACCACAGTTTGAGTCTTGGACCAGTGACTTAAACTCACGCCGGGCACGTGTGTGTGCCTGCCCAAGATCCCGAGAGGAGAATGAGGGAGAAGGGATTGTGGCATGGCCATTCCCCCTGGGGGGTGATTTCTCACTTTCTGTCTGTCTTTCTCTGTCTCTTTGGTGAGCGCACGTGCCCTATAGCAAAAACCTCTAAAAAAAAAAAAAAAAAAAAAACA